GGCAGAAGCCATCGTCACCGCCAACTACCTGCGCAACCGCTCTCCAATCTCATCCCAAGACACCACCTCCTACGAACTGTTCCACGGCACCAAGCCTGACCTGTCCCACCTGCGCACATTCGGAGCCCGAGCCTACGCCCACGTTCCCACCGTGCTGCGCACCAAGCTCGACGCCGTCAGCGAGCCCGGCCGTTTCATCGGCTACCCCGCCAACACCAAGGGATACAAGATTCTACTTGACAACGGCAACATTGAGCGCCACAAGGCCCGCCTCGTCGTCAAAGGTTTCCACCAGCGCGAAGGCATCGACTACGACGAAGTGTTTGCCCCCGTCTCCAAATATTCCACCCTGCGCACCGTGCTAGCCATCGCTGCTGACCTGGACCTGGAAATTCACCAACTCGACATCAAGACTGCATTCCTCAACGGCAAGCTGGACGAGGATGTGTACATCCAGCAACCACCTGGCTACAACTATGATAACCCAGACCTGGCCTGCAAGTTGAACAAGGCCCTCTACGGACTCAAGCAAGCCTCCCGAGCCTGGCACCGCACCCTGAAGACCGAGATCGAGTCCATGGGCTTCAAGGAGTCAACTGCTGACCCAGGCCTCTTCATCAAGCCCTCCTCACCACCAGCCTACCTGCTCATCTACGTCGACGACATTCTGGTCATCACCAACAACACATCCATGCTTAACTCCGTCAAGAACCAGATCTCCACCGCCTTCGAGACCCGGGACCTTGGTCCAGCCACCTTCTTCCTCGGCATCGACATCATCCGAGACCGCACCACCAAAACCATCAAGTTGACCCAGACCCGCCATACCACTGACCTGCTGTCCAAGTTCAACATGGAAAAGTCCAAGCCCTTCGATACACCATCCAGCATCGCCATCAAGCTCACCGCCGACGGCGAGCCACTCGACACCAAGGAACATCCCTACTCCACCCTCATCGGCTCCCTCATGTACCTGGCATCCTGCACCCGACCTGATATTGCCCAAGCCGTGGGAGCGTTGGCCCGCTACATGTCCAAGCCCACCACAACGCACTGGACTGCAGCCAAGCATGTGCTCCGCTACCTCGCCGGCACCACCGACTACGGCATCATCTTCACTCCATCCGACTCCACACTCAACGCCTACTGCGACGCCAACCACGCTGGCGACATTGACACCCGCCGCTCAACCACCGGCTACGTGTTCACCTTCAACAACGGCGCCATCACCTGGAGCTCCCGCCTGCAGCCCACTGTCGCTGCATCCACCACCGAAGCTGAGTACATGGCGGCCGCCTCCACCGTTAAGGAAGCCCTGTGGCTCCGCAAGCTCTTCACCGACCTGGACCTCCACATTGCATGCATCGACATCAAGTCCAACAGCCAGTCTGCCATCCACATGCTCAAGAACCTCGTCATCTCCCTCCGCTCCAAGCACATCGACATCGTGCACCACTTTGCCCGCGAGCGAGTCGCCCGTGGAGAAGTCAACTTCTTCTACATCCCCACCGACTCCATGGTCGCCGACATCCTGACCAAGCCCGTGCCCACCAACAAGTTCCAGTTCTGCCGCGACGCATGGGCATTGCCTAAGTGCAACAGCTGTGCAGCCTGCGTGGGAGTGTTGAGCTGTGACAATGCCACGTGTCCAGTCTACACATCCGCTGCACTGATACCCTCATTCCCGCCTTTCCCGCCCCAGACACCGCACAATTGTGTTTCCCCACCCCATTCCCAGTTGATCGACACTTGTGCCACTCCCTTTCGTGCACCTGACCCAGCCATTATGCTCACCGATACCATGATGCCTTTGTGCCGCATCGTACCCGCATCGTATCAGGAATATCTCAAGTATATGCCGGGAATATGCTCCTCCACCCCAGATCTATTTAACGCCGCCTCTAGTGCGAATTTACTACTCTTGCTGCCTTTGTAAATACCTCCCGTCAACAAGCTCACCAGCGTCGGCGAGCCCATGGACGCACGCACCCCCGGCTATGCTCAGCTGGTTGGGAGCTTGCTGTATCTGTCAGTCTGCACACGCCCCGACATCGCCCAAGCCGTGGGAGCTCTCGCCCGCTACATGTCCAAGCCCAGCCTCGCCCACTGGCAGGCAGCCAAGGGCGTGCTGCGCTACCTGGCGGGCACCGCCAACTACGGCATCACCTTTGGCGCTGGCGGCCCCGGGCTGGAGGCCTACTGCGACGCAGACTACGCCGGCGACATCGACACCCGGCGCTCCACCACCGCCTACGTCTTCATCCTCAACGGCGGTGCCATCAGCTGGTCCAGCGCCTGCAGCAGACCGTGGCGGCCTCCACCACCGAGGCTGAGTACATGGCGGCAGCCGCCGCCATCAAGGAGGCCCTCTGGCTGCGCACCCTGTTGGGCAACCTGGGCCAGCCCATCCAAACCATCCCCATGCTGGCTGATAGCCAGGGCGCCATCAAGCTGCTCAAGAACCCCGTCTTCTCCATGCGCTCCAAGCACATCGACGTCATCTACCACTTTGCCCGCGAGCGCGTGGCACGCAACGACGTTTCCTTCTCCTACATCAAGACTGACCACATGGTCGCCGACTCCCTGACCAAGCCCGTGCCGGCAACCAAGTTCGACTACTGCCGCACCGCCATGGGCATCACCCCCTGCAGTTGAGCAGTCTGCGTGGGAGTGTTGGACGGCGGGCCACCTGGCTGCACCAGCGCCCGCCAGCTGTCCAGCCTGCTCACCTACAGCACCCACCGCGTTGGGACGCGGCCAGACCGAAAGCCACGCGCCCCACACCCGCGCCAGCTGGCAAAACCCAACGGTCAGCTCCCCCACCCAATGCCATCTGTCAGCACCCTCCAGCTGGCGGCGACATCTGGCAGGCACCCGCCATCTGGCCATTCTCCCATGCATGCATAAAATCCCCTGCATTTCGCCTTGTTGGTCATTCTCTCCTAGTGCCCTTCCTCAGTGACTGCCCTCTGCAGTCTGGTGTAAAGCCCTTCTCTCACAACAGATTCCCGGAACAGGAGATGCTGCCATGCCATTCTGGGGTGCCCTGAGCTGCCACTGGCACTTGAAGGGACGTGTAATGATGGGTCAGGACAGGTGGGAGGGTCTTGAAGGGTCTGGATGAGCATGACAGCATGGCTGGCAGCAGGGGGTCCCGCAGTGCCGCCGACGCGCTGCCCAGTGAAGGAACATCATGTGTGCCATGCTGGGTGCAAAGGGGTCCAGGGGGGAGGGCAAAGGGCTCCCCCCCCACCAACAATCAGCACCACCCACACATGTACCTGCATCGTCAGCGCAGTACTGCGCCCACAGCGCCTGCACCTCCACCGCTCCTCTGGCACTCCAAGGGATGTGTAATGGTGGGTCAGGGCAGGTGGGAGGGTCTTGAAGGGTCTGGATGAGCATGACAGCATGGCTGGCAGCACGGGGTCCCGCAGTGCCGCCGACGCGCTGCCCAGTGAAGGAACAGCATGTGTGCCATGCTGGGTGCAAAGGGGTCCAGGGGGGAGGGCAAAGGGCTCCCCCCCCACCAACAATCAGCACCACCCACACATGTACCTGCATCGTCAGCGCAGTACTGCGCCCACAGCGCCTGCACCTCCACCGCTCCTCTGGCACTCCAAGGGATGTGTAATGGTGGGTCAGGGCAGGTGGGAGGGTCTTGAAGGGTCTGGATGAGCATGACAGCATGGCTGGCAGCACGGGGTCCCGCAGTGCCGCCGACGCGCTGCCCAGTGAAGGAACAGCATGTGTGCCATGCTGGGTGCAAAGGGGTCCAGGGGGGAGGGCAAAGGGCTCCCCCCCCACCAACAATCAGCACCACCCACACATGTACCTGCATCGTCAGCGCAGTACTGCGCCCACAGCGCCTGCACCTCCACCGCTCCTCTGGCACTCCAAGGGATGTGTAATGGTGGGTCAGGGCAGGTGGGAGGGTCTGGAGAGGCATGGGTGAGAAGTGGCAGCAGGCAAGGACGGTGCTGCGGGCGGGAACGGCGGCGCCGCCACGCGCATGCTGCCAGGTGGTCGTTTTCCGGCACGGGGACTGCCAGCAAGGGCAGGGACAACAGCAGGGCGTAGTATCCTCCGCGGGGGCGGCAGCGTTGGCGCTAGTGGCAGTCAGCGCAGCCAACAACAGCCCACTCACAGGGCAAGGGCCTCGGCCACCGACTGCCCCGCCGGCTGGGCAGGAATCGGGACCGGCGCCCCAACCGAGAAATGCAGCTGCATGGCGCGCTGGCCAGCAGCCGCCGCCACCACATACAACCCCCCGGGGGGGGCCCGATGCGTCCACATGGCCTCAAAGTCGTCCAGCGTGAGCGAGGCATCCCTGCCACGGAACCACTCACAGTGTAGGCACCGCCAAACCGCCGCAAATCCTGGGAGGCTCTCGTCCAGTCGCGGCGGATGGTGGCCCGCACAGCGGCGACGGTGGCGCCACACACCGCTGCAGCGTCAATGGGGATGCCAGCCAGGGAGCGCCGGGCACGCAGCCGCCACACGCTATGCAAGAAGGGCAGGCGAAGGTGCACAAACGTGCCTGGCAAGCGGCGCCGGGCGCTACACCGTGGCCTCGTCCGCAAGCCAGACGCGTGCCGTGGACCAGAAGTTGTGGCGCAGTGGTTTACACTGCCCGGGAAAACAAAGCCCAAGCGCCATGCGAGGTTGTAGCGATCACTCCTCGCCCTCCTGCGGCTCGGGCTCCAAGCGTATGAGATCGTCGATGCGCAGGATGGTGATGGCAGCCTCGGTGGCAAACTGGATTATCTTCAGTTTGCTCAGCGCAGGCTCCACCACCCCCGCTGCAATATTGTCCCGAATCGTGCCCCCCACCAGGTCCAGCCCGCTCTGCAGCAAAAGGGCGAGGGATGAGAACGGCGCCGTCACATGCAAGCCAGGAAATGGGCGTGCAGCACTGTCAACAAAGCTGGCTATTGTCCCGGCACAAAGCACATACTGCACCTGCGCCAGCGCTTTCTTCTCGGGGTTGGTCTGCGCGCTGTAGTGGAAGGCGCGCAGTTTAGCCACCAGCTCCGTGGCATCCTTGGCTGCATTCACCGCCAGCGTCTTGGGAATGATCTGCACCACAAGGTTCAGGGTGGCTGAATGCGTGATGGCCTCCATGGTGCTCATTTCTGCGTGGATCGAACAATCGGCCAAACAGCTCCCATCCAGGCTTACCAGCAGTGCGTCTGCAAACTCGGCAATTGCCAGCTGCTCCCGGCTGCCAAGCGTGGTGGCAAAATTTTCAAGGTACACATTGAGCGCAGCCTCCACGGCACCGCCGCCTGCAGGAAGCAAGGGGGAGAGCAGACAGCCAGTGTTGTCCATGCCGGGAGCAGCATTATTGGTGCAAAATCTCCAAAAATGTCAGACATTCCTATTACCACCCAGCCAGCCACACCCACCTGGCACCACCTGCCCACTCTCCAGCACGCGCTTGACGATGCAGAAAGCGTCATGTAAGGAGCGGTCCATCTCATCCAGCATGTAGTCATTAGCGCCGCGCAGCAACACTGTGATGGGCCAAGGAGAGGGCAGTGAGAAGACGAGGGCAAGTTAGCCGAACACCAAGCGCATAGGGCAACCAGCCACAGCACCAATGGCAAGCCGCCAAATACATCATAGCAGCAACCCGACCACTGCCCATGCCCGTGGCCCACCCACCTGTCACAGCCCGCGTGTTCTTCGGGCCCCGGATCATCAGCATGTCATTGTCTGCAACGCTCTCCTCCACCACCTCCTCCGCCACACCCAAGTTTGCGGGGTCAAACGTTTCGTTGCCCTCCATGTCTGCCAGCGTCATCACAATGCTGCCGCCAGTGGCCTTGGCAACACGACTGCGTAACACCAGGAGTATCATGGCACTTGGCGCATCCGGGAGGACTGAAAAATGGTGGGAGCATCAGCAGGCATCCAGCACCTCGTGGAGCTGCCACCATGCACCCACGCACCGCAGGTCATCCTTGGGCACACGTCGGCAGGCAATGGCACCCGCCTCCACAAAGTACTTGAGGGCAGTGTCGTCAATGCCTTTAGTAGTCAGGATCACGTTGGCACCTGCACGGAGAGGCAGCGACACAGATGGAGGTGCATATGGAAGTGCAAGAATAAAAGGGTCTGGCAGCAAGAGGCAGACTTCATGCATCGAGATATGCTTGTAGCAGGGAGACAAAACACCCTGACCCCACCTGAATCAATGATTTTCTGGATGCGCTCGCGCGTGATGTCCAGCTCACGTTGCCGGATCAGCTCCAGCTCCTTGGGGTCAGTCACCAGCACCTGCGCTTCGATGGCAGCAGGGTGGGAGGGAGAGGCAGACAGGGGCAATCATGGCGGACGTCCATGTCAGGCAGCACACGTGAGCAACAGGCGCAGGCAAGGCTGTGCACACACCTGCACACCAAAGTGCATGCGTGCTTTCTGCAGGTTCATGTCCAGGCACGCGATGCGGGCATTCTTCACATTCTTCGGCATGCCCTGCACCAACAGCCAGCATATGGCATCGCGGCAGGTGGGCAACGGCTAACTGACTGGCAGGCTGAGAGCAGACAGGAGGCAGACAGACAGCAGGAAGCCACTTCTTGCTAAGAAGGGTGGTGCAACACACCTGTGCCGCTCGCCCAAGGTTCAGGGCATAACCATCTAGCAGCTGGCTCTCCTTTGCGCTCTTGCCATGGGCTTTGAGGATGTTGATGGCGCCAACCGGGTACCGCACCCTGCATGGCAGCACCGCCGTTGAAGTAGCAATCGAAATATTTGGGTCTGGACAGCCAACTACGTTGCCTGCTCAGCAACGGGTGGGTCACTCCACAGAAGCTATGCACTCCCAGCCCAAGACACGTGCTGCAGATCATACCTGCCCGTCTCCTCATCCTCGCTTTTAACCGCCGTTACCGCGTCCACCACAATGCGACCAAAGAAGTCTGAATCCGCTCCCACAATCTTGCTGCTCATGGCCGTCTTGGCCGCCGCCATGAGCGTCTCAGCGCCCAAGCTCGAGGTGGGGATTGCCAGCTGCTGCTCAATGTATTTACACGCCTGCAAGTATCGCCCGATGGCACAGCCAAGGCAGGCCGTAGGCACCTTGCAGCACAGCCTTATCGTGCTGCTGGCCTGAACAGCGGCCCGCACGCGATAACGACATCGCTTCCTTCGGATATCATGTGAACACGGGTCGAGCCCATCCTCCATGCAACCGTTCCCTGCGCTTCCTTCCCAGTCAATGCACATGCTCCGCCCGCTCACCCACCTCGCGCATGGCCAGGCGGTAACCGCCAATGATGGAGGTGGGGTGGATCTTGGCGCGCACCAGCTCGTTGGCGCGTTTGAGCAGTTCCGCGGCCACAATGACCACCGACGTGGTGCCGTCGCCCACCTCCTGGTCCTGCAGCTCCGCCAGCTCGACCAGGATCTGCAGGCAAGGGTGGACCGAGAGGGCCGGCGTTGCCGAACCTGCAGACCCTTTGGGTGGCCCACGAGGTGAGTTGCGTTGTTGAGACAACACACACACACCACCGTTGACTGCCCTCCTCCGCCACCCGCCTTTGCCGCCGGGTGCTCCACGTCCAGCAGCTTTAGGATGGTGGCGCCGTCGTTGGTGATTGTCACATCGCCAATGTCGTCCACCAGCATCTGCAGGCGAAGGAAGGGTACACCTGATCACGATGCAAGGTGCTTGATCAGGATGGCGTCGTGCATGGCCGCCCTGCAGCCCCAGCAGCGCACCTTGTCAAGCCCAACCGGCCCCAGGCTGGTCTTCAGGATGTTGGCCACCGCCAGCACCGCGGTGGCGTTCTGCGTGCGGACATCCTGCCCCGTGGTGCGCTCGCCGTGCAGCTGCAGCTGCGGTCCCGCTGCCCCCGCCATTGGCAATCCCAATTCGCCGGCAGGCAGATGAAACGGCGCTGGGCAAAGTCAAGTCTGGGGCTCACTGATGGGCAGGGGCGGCGATGCGATCAGCAAATGTAGACACACACACAAACTGCTGGGGCATCGCAGGGCTGAGCCAGGCCTGAACGTCCAGAACGTCCAGCAAGCAGAGCTGGCGCTGATTGGACCTCCTGAACTTGCACATGTAGCTATTATGCATCGCATGCAAACACTGTTTCGGCTCAATTCAGGGCGCGGCTGGCCCAGCTGGGCGCTCCGTGCACTTCGCGCCTGGCAGCCTCTACGCCCTTCTCGCGCCCCTGCGACTGAATTGAAACCCTCGGCGTAACCTACAGACCGGACTCAGGCCCAGCCACGCCCACCAGCGCCCTACGGGACCTCTTGCGTTCTTGCTATGCTGCTTGGGCGGCCCAGCTGCTGCCCTTCGACCGCCACCACAGAATCGCATCCAGCAGGGCGGTCCCAGCAGCAGGCACCAGCCCGGCGGCAGCGGCGGCAGGCAGCGTCGCCAGCCTTGGCGTGTGCCATGCGGCGGCGCGGAGTCGCCCTTCTGCGGCAGGCCGCGGCGGGTCTGACCAGCAGCAAGGCTTTACCCTCGGCAGGTGAGGGGGTCACGAGTGGCACTGCTGCTGTGCGCGCCGGCTTGCTCTTGCTCTGCTGGTCCAGCGTATGCTCTTGAGCTGGATTTGACCGCCAACCTGCTCGACCCATGGGTAGGTGTGCGTCGGCGGCTGGCACCACTGTCCGCTTCCCCGCATGAGGTGTATGGCAACGGCAGCAGCAATGGGAGTGCGGCGCCAGCGAGCGCCGCAAGCCTGGCCACCCAGGCTGCTGGTGACAGCACAAGCGCCCCCGGCAGCGCCTCCTCCAGCAGCCAACATTACGCCGCCATTGATGCGGCGGCACCGCCGGGCTGGTCACCCCGCCAGCGCGCTATGCTGCACGGCAGCGTGCGTGCGAAGATAGCAATTCTTCAAACCCATTTGGAGGGCAACACTCAGCGGCTGTGGTATCTGAAGCGCGAGCCCGAGCTGCTGTCTGCGCTGGGCATCAGCGCCAACGAGCTGCAGAGCCTGGTGCTGATGAAGTATGGGACGGGGGAGGAGGCGCTGCAGCAACTGATGGCGCTCTTGGCGAGGAAGCAGGTGGCAGTGATGGAGCTTGAACAGCAGGCTGGGCGGCAGGCGCCACAGCTGGCGCTGCCCAATTATCGCCCACAGCCACAGACAGGGGTGACGCCAGCATCAGTGCAGCCGCCGGCGCAGCCGCCGCAGCAACAAGGTTATATGCCTTCCTGGCGGTTGCAGCAGCAGGCGCAGCAGGCAGCAGCAGTGGAGCGGTGGGGGCAGCAGCCTACGGCAAGCCCACTAGAGCGCACGGCCCCCAGCAGTTCCCAAGTTGTGGGTGGCGCAGGCAGTTATGCAGAGCGCCGGGCACAATGGCAGCAGCAGCAGCAGCAGCAGCAGCAGCAGCAGCAGGAGGCGGCAACCCCCGTGCGGGCCTCCATCCGTGATCTGCTCAACGAGCGACGGATTCGGCTACCTCAGTACGCGCCAGGCACCTACAACCACGCGCTGTGCCCCGAGTGCCAGGGCGGTGACAAGGGTGCGTGCCAGAAGCCCGCTATGCAACCTGTGGTATATCGCCACTGGCCAGCCTGCCTGCCGCGGCGGGGGTGGGTGGTTGTGTGGGGGGAGGAAGACACTTCTCTGCGCCCCATCAAGCTGCCCTCCCCTGCCTTGGTCTTCTTGCAGGCGAGAAGAGTCTGAGTGTGACGATAGAGGAGGGGAGCGACGCGGCGATGTGGAACTGCTTCCGCGCCAAGTGTGGCTGGACAGGGCGCGTCAACACGCGCCAGGGCACCAGCAAGGCATATCGCCAGTACACAAACGAATCAGGTGTGATGTTGATGCTGATGGGAATTGCTGCCATGTCCTGCACTTGCAATAAAGCCTGTCGCCACTACTGGCAGTGCCGAATACATCTGCCTGCCCACCTTTCTCTTCCCTGTCCTGTCCTGCTTTGCCAGGCTTTGCGGTGACAGCAATGCGCAAGCGCAAGGAGGAGTCTCCGCTGCGCCCCAACCCCAAGTTCGATGCCGAACTGTCGCCAGAGGTGGTGAATTTCTTTGCCGGTCGGGGCATTACCGCTGCCACGCTGGTGCGAAACCGTGTGGCACAGGAGACGCTGGCAGATGGCTCCACTGCCATTGCCTTTCCCTACTACAGGTGAGAGGGATTAGGGCAGAGGAGGGTGGGAAATCAGCCGCACAGAGCGTGGCTGCTAACCATAAGCGCCGCTTGCCTTGCTTGCCCTCACAGAGACAGCCAGCTGGTGAACATTAAGTATCGGTCAGTTGGGGAGAAGAAGTTCTGGCAGGTGCGAGGCTGCGTGCCAGCAATGCTAGTGGCAATGGGAGATGTATAGGTGGCGCAGTTGGCACCCTGGGGTTTTCACCACCGCTGCTGCTCCTAATCCTGCTGCAGGTTCGTGGGGCAGAGAAGGTGTTGTTTGGCCTGGATGACGTGGTGGGACAGAGCGACATCGTAGTGGTGGAGGGAGAGATGGACAAGCTGGCACTGGAGGAGGCGGGGTTCACAAACGTGGTGTCGGTGAGTAGGCTTCTTGCACCAAGGGGCCGGAATTGTGCTTGGAAGCTGGGATGCTTGCATGCCTTCAACTCGCACCTTCCTGTTCGTTCCCCGCCGCATTGCTCCTGCTGCGATCCCTGCCCGGCACTTCGCAGGTGCCAGATGGTGCGCCTGCACGGGTGAAGGAGGGCGAGGTGCCTCCTGCCGATCAGGATACCAAGTTTTCCTACCTGTGGAACTGCCGAGCTTGGCTGGACCAGGCCACTAAGGTCGTGATTGCCACGGGTGAGCTGGATATCTGCAGAAAGGCAGCAGAGCACAGTCTGGCAGCAGGGGCACGCAGCCACACAAAACAGGCAGGTGAGTTTCGCATAAGCGGCCATCCACGCACATGCTGCAGACAATGATGCCCCTGGCGACGCGCTGGCTGAAGAGCTGGCGCGGCGTCTTGGGCGTGAGCGGTGTTGGCGGGTGCGGTGGCCACTGAATAAGGAGGACCACCAGTATGCGGCAGAGGTGACTGGCGTGGCGTACGTGCCCCAGGAACAGGAGTCCGGCAGTAGCACAACTGGCAACTCGGTGGCGGCAGCAGCCAACGTGCAGCAGCAGCAGCTGCAGGGGGTAGGAGAGGCTGCAGCCGACAGGTCGTCTGCCATCGAGGCGGGGGCTGAGGCGCTGCAGCTGCGCGTGCAGCCGGCGTTTTATCGTAAGGACGCCAATGAGGTGCTGATGCGGGATGGAGCCGCCATGCTGCGCGCCTTTCTGCTCAACGCCGAGCCCTTCCCCATCCGTGGCCTGCTCAGGTGAGCAGGGGCCTTCGGGGAGGAACGGGGTGCAGGGGTTGTGGGCGATGCATCCATGTCAAGCGGCGCGCATCCCGCATTCCCTGCCCTGCCCTGTCCTTGGTCCACAACGTTGCAATACTGCTGTGGTGCAGGTTCCATGAGTACTACGATGACATAATGAAGTACTACCGCCTGGAGCACAAGGACGGGCAGGGCCGCTCCACGGGCTGGCCTGCGCTGGACCAGTTGTACAAGGTGGTGCCTGGCGAGCTGACCATCGTGACGGGTGTGCCCAACAGCGGCAAGAGCGAGTGGATTGACTCGCTGCTGGCAAACTTGGCGGAGCAGCACGACTGGTGCTTTGCGCTGTGCTCCATGGAGAAAAAGGTGGGTGGTCACGCGCAGATGGGTGGACCTCAAGGACAGGAGTGTGCGCGCCGCAAGGTGATGGACCCTGCCACCTCACCCTATAGCCCACTTGCTTCCACAACCGTTGCACCCCTCCACCGCCACACAACTGCAGGCCACCGACCATGCGCGCCAGCTTGTGGAGAAGTACATCGGCAAGCCGTTTTTCGACCTGCCCTATGCACGTGGCGTGCGGCGAATGAGCGAGCGTGAGCTGGACGAGGGGCTGGACTGGATCGATGACCGCTTCCACCTGGTCAGGTGCGGGCAGGATGGCAGGCCACGCGTCTTGTGTAGGGTGGGGAGGCGCTAAGCTGTGCCAAGGGCATGGAAGGCATGACCCCACGCACTAGGCTGGAGCAGCCCTGCGCTGCCCTCAACTTTTGCCCGCGCCTGCACTTTCTCCTCCTTTGCATCACTTCCTTAGCCCTGACACCAACTGTCTGTTGCCTGCCTACCTTCCTGCCTTGCTTCCAGGTACGAGGATGATGCTCTGCCGGCAGTGGACTGGGTGCTGGATGTGGCACGTGCCGCCGTCTACCGCTATGGCATCCGTGGCCTGGTCATTGATCCGTACAACGAGCTGGACCACCAGCGCCCCGCCTCCATGAACGAGACCGAGTATGTGAGCCAGATGCTGACCAAGGTCAAGCGCTTTGCGCAAGTGAGTGGCTGGTGTGTTGGCAGGCTGTGCCACATCAACTAGCCGGGTGCATCAGTAGTTGGGGGAGGGATGCAGGCACTGGTTGTGCGGGAGCCCAGTCTCGTGCGTGTTTTGCTACCTTACGGGTGCACCTTGGATCCAACTGTACTACTACCTTTTTAGCCCACACCATGTTTTCTTGCAGACTACGGGCGTACATGTGTGGTTTGTGGCGCATCCGCGCCAGCTTCGCGATTGGAAGGGGCAGGCGCCCAACCTGTATGACATTTCCGGCTCGGCTCACTTCATCAACAAGGCCGACAATGGCATCGTGGTGCACCGGGACAGGGACCCAGAGTCTACTGTGCAGCACAAGGTGGGGCGGGTGGGGTGGATGGGAGGGGATAGGTGGGGTGGTTAGGAAGGTGTCTGGAGGGCAGCATGGGGAGGCACTGCCACTGCTGGCGGCCTCTTTTCCAGTCTTATCTGCTGCACTGCACCACGCACACCATTGCGCCCCAGGTGAACATTCTGGTGCGCAAGGTGCGCAACAAGGCGGCAGGCACCATTGGCGACTGCGTGCTCGAGTATGAGCGAGTCAATGGGCGGTACATTGACCCGGACAACCCGTCCAGCGGCCCACGCACCACTCAAAGGGTTGACTTTGACCAGCTGTTGCGCCAGGAACGCCTGGCACAGATGCGGGCAGAAGAGGCAGCACAAGCGTCAGCGGCAAGGTCGGAGTTCACGGTGGCAGGCGTGCCGCTGGCTGCAGAGCGCGATGCAAGAACGGCGGGGGTGGGCTTTATGCCTGCCAGCGACAAGGCGACGGCAGGGGTGGCAGCATTTGCGCGAGGGTTGAACAGCTCCCAGTCGCAGGCGGGGCCGCAGCGGATGCTGCAGCAGCAGCAACAGCAGCAGCGGGAGCAAGCGCCACAGCCATTACTGGAGCAGGTGGAGCCGCCAGCGCCACCACCGCCACCAGCGGTGACGTTTGGTGCTGACGGCACCGTGTCGAACGACCCTGTGACTGATGAGCAGGAGACGTGCGCCTGGCTTGATGGAGCCAGTTGATCCTGTAGTGTCCAACCGAGTACTGTCTTCAGTTGTTGCGTGGTGCCTTTGTTTCTACACCTCTCGCATCTCATTCTCCAATCATCCTTTTATCTCTTCTATCAACTCTCTACGATGTGCAATAAAGTACCTGATGGCAGGCAAGGAGTTTAAAGGTTCTCTTCTTGGGTCCGCGCGCCGTCTTGGGCGGGGCGCCTTGCGGGCTGCTGCAGCTGACAGGAGCCGAATCCATGCTTGCAACATACCGCAAACCCAGGGCAAATTTCTGCCAACTAGTAGTTTTTGCACTTTATGCCGCTGGCTGCCTCAAGCAAGTTACATAAGCCGCTGACAAATGAGCGGCAGTAACAAATCCATGTCTGATTCCTGGAATAGCCTGGCCTGGACCGCACAAGCCACGAGGCTGGCAGCTAAAGTGGGGTGCGCTGGTGTAAAACCAGCGACCCACGCTACTAGGGTGGAGCCTCGGGAGCCGCCCAGAGGGTGCAGAAGGGCGTGCGGGCTGTCTGCACCGCCTTGCCTTGCAGCCGTGCTCCTCACTTTGCGGCCCAAAGGGCTGCGCATTGTGTCAAGGTCTTGGAAAGAGTGCAAGTCCCGCTGCTGGGCTGCCCACACATCACAAGACCGCCCATAGCTGACGCAATGAGCTCAATCGCCCTTCCGGCGGAAAGAGCAGCCTGCAACAGCGAGGTATGGGGGGGATGGCAAGATTACCAAGCAACTCGAGGGTGCAGCGGCACCCATGCTGCCGGATTGCGTCGCAGTCCCCCTCCCCACACAACTGCTGGTTGCTGCAACCAACAACCGACTCCCGTCTGTTGCCACCGCCACACTCAATTGCTACATCACTCCGCCGGCCTCAGCTGGCCCCTTTCATAGTTTCCTGCTCCAGTTGCCTGCTGGCCTCGCACCCTCGGTCAGACGAGCCTTGCCGCCAGTGGGGACGCACAGCACGGTATTGCAGCTTGGGCACACCACGACGGTCTGGCTGTGGCTGAATACAGTAGTGCTGCAGCAAGCAGGGCAGGCACACAACGTGTCAGCCGATGAGCAGAGCTGCAGCAAAACACATCCCCGGTACAACAAGGGCATGACAGCAGATGACGTGTAAAGCAACGTGTACAGCAAAATCGTAGATTGTGCTAAAAGCAGTCAATTAGCTGAAAACGCCGAGACAGGAGCAAATCAGTGCAGTTCAGTGACCGCCGCCTCTTGCGCCTGGCGGTGGGTCGCGTCACTGCTGGTTGGCAGCCACCCCTTCCACCCCCGGCAGCCCCCGCAAAACTCACATGGTGAAACAGCCCTGGCACTTCACATCCATGAAGTAGGAGTTGGGGGAGGCCACCAAGCGCTTGAGCTTATGCTTCCGCTTCTCCAGCTCCGCCGGGGGGTTCAGCAGGTCGATGTCGCACGCCAGCACCTGCACGCAGCCCACAGCCGGCTCGTCAAGGGCTGCCATTGAAGGAGGGGAGCCCTGCTAAGCCCACGCACTGCCACCATCGATCGCCGACCAGGCTGCCGGGCTGCGCCGAGCCCCGCAGCAGCATCAGTCCGATGCACACAGCCGACGGGTAGGCTGGGGCGGCGCGCCAGGGGGCAGGGAGAGCCATGGGGAGGTCCGGCACCTCATGCGCGCCATGCTGTCGCTGGGGGAGGATGGAAACCGGCCCAGTCCGCCCCCGGCATAATTGCAGCAGCTGCAGCCCCCCCGGTGGGCCCCCCACCCTGCACGCCACATGCTGGCCTGCACGCACCATGGTTGCCAGCGCCTTCTCTGTCTGCGCTCCACGACAGAGGACCCGAAGAGGCCGGTGGCGGCATGGGCCGGCCCCCTTGTGCCACCGGGCAAGCGCCCTGCTAGTCCCGGGACGGAGCAAGCGCCTGCCAGCCGGCGACCAGCGTATGCGACAGCTAGTGGTTGTTGCAACCCAGGGAACGTCCTTGCTGGTTCACTTCATCCCGATCCCGCGGCGCCTGTTAAACCTGCAGCAGCCATGGAATCGACTGAAATGCAGGGGTATTTGATGGCGGGATAGGAAGCAAAGGTCGTGATCAGCGTTGTGTGTTACCAGCACATGTGGGGCCAGGCGGCGGTAGGGACGCAACCCTGCCCCATGGCCGCCCGCTGGCCGCCCGCCCGCCTATGTGTACGCTGCCCACACTTGCTTCCAATGAAGGTGTTGTGCCAGCCTTCACGTCGAAAATTTGCACTAATTGCCTTAATATTGACCATCTACGGTGCCACGAGGGCTGGGGCGCTTGTTAAGGCAGAGGCATGGTGCCAGGTTGGGGCGCCGCAACTCTGGGCTCTCAGTGTTCAACTGACAGTTCAACGCAGTTTTGAACTACGCACACTGAACTACTGCACCCCTTCTGAACTACCGCACCCGCTTCGCCAGAGGCCTGTCAAGCCCCTCGTCCATCCCGTGTGTGCCCAGCAGCACCCCCGTGGCCAGCGTCTTGGTGTACTTGCTCTGCCGCCGCGCCTCAAACTCGGCGAAGCCCTCGATGGCGTGCAATGATGCGGGAGTGATGGGGTTGTCGTGCAGGCTGATCGTGGTCAGGCTGGTGCAGTTCAGGAGGATGGCGAGCGGCAGCGTTCTGATCTGGTTGCTGTCCAACTGCAGCAGCTTGAGGCGGTGCAGGTTTCCAAGTGACGCCGGAAGCACCTGCGTCGGGCAAGGCATTTGGGCTCTTAGGAAATAAGGGTTGCCTGACCAGTGATCCTCCTTGCTGGGACCAGACCAGCAGCGCACGCCCCGTTCAACCAACACATGCCGCACCTGCAGCGTGTTGTGGTGCGCGTCCAGCTCCTCCAAGGCACCGCACTCGCCCAGCTCCTCTGGCAGCGCCGTAAGCTTATTTTGTGCGACCAGCAGCTGTTTGAGCCGGTGCAGCTGCCCCAGCGAGCGAGGCAGCTGCGCGAGCAGGTTGTCTGCAACGGACAGTGTCTCCAGCCGGGCCAATCTGCCGATAAAGTCTGGCAGCGTTCCTATTCGGTTTCCATCCAGCACAAGATACTGCAGAGAAGGGGAGGGGGGCGGGGCGCCTGTAGATGCTGAATGAGCGCAAATTTGAGACGGCAAAGTGAACCAGCAAGGGGTGCTTGTCTGCAGAGCGCGCCTTTATGTTCTGCAGGCCGGCCAGGCTGGCCAGGCTGCCATCGGCTATGCGGTTGTTCTGCAAGACTAGCCGTTGCAGGCTGGACGGTAGGCTCGGTGGCAGCCGCTCGATGTGGTTGTCGGTGGCGTCTAGCACCCGAGGGCTCGTCACCTGCGCAACCTCCGCCGGCAGCTCCTGCAGAGCCGGCGCGGCAGACATGTATGCAACGCAGCCAGGCCTCGCCCCTGCTTATGGCGGCCGCCCTCACAGTGCCCAGTGCCGCACCTTGAGGCTGGCCCCCCGAAGGCTGATCACTCCGGTGGCTCGCCAGTTGGCCACACGCTCGCTCTTCTTGTGCCGCACATCGTTTTTATCAACAGCGGGGCTGGCGCAACAGTTACCCATGCCTCCTGCAGCTCAAGATGAGCTGTTGCTGCAGGCGGCACAGGGCCCAGGGCCACGCACCGATGAGGGCCCGCCGCAGAGAAGCCGCCGTTGGCGGCAATGGACCCCTGCCGTGGCGTGCGCATACCTGCGCACCCCCTGTCAAGCGCAGGATGTGTGGCAGAAGCTCCCAGGGTTGCGCCACGCGTTGCCGGCGGGCCGTCGATAGCGCTGGGGAATGAGCGAAAAGAGACAGCTTTTCCTTCGCAAATCTAATCAATGGGAATCAACGTGGAGCGAGGGTTCGGGGTTTAAAGAGGTGAGGTGCGCCGCCCTCCCGCCCCCAACTCAGCGCAGCAGAGCATTGCTCACCGGGCACCCTCCTTCCGTTCCTGGTGCTCCTGGGTGCTGTGACAAACTGTGACGAAGAGAGAAAACTTGGCACTTGTGCAAGTCGATCTTGTGGGTAGGAAAACAACCACAGCGTGTGGGTGGGACAACGGCAAAGCCCGGGCCCCCCCCGGGCGGGGCCCGGCAGAAAATGAACGCTACCAAAGCCTTGTGCTGTGGGCGGTTCATTTGATTCCATCCAGTTTGAAAGCCGTCTGGACAACGAAAAAATTTCGGGATCCATGGTACGGCCAAAGGATTCACAGGCAAATCGACCGCCGCCGCCAGGTGTCCCTCGACTTGCCGCCAGGGGTGCCTCAAGCGCCTGGAATTTCCTTCGGGGCTCCCGCCCACGCATCTGAGCCTGGTTACTGTCTGTCGTCGAGCATAACTGGAAGCAGCCGCGCCAGTGTAGTTAGGTCGGGTCCCGTCGCTCAAGCTCAGGGTGAGCCAGCTCGCCTCTGTGATTGCACCTCTTCCATAATTTCTCTTTTTGGACAGCACATTTATTGACGGCCCTTGTTCGTCGCGCTGATGCAGCTCTGGCTTTCTAGGTTTGGCAGTCGTGCTCCTCTTAGGCCTGCTCAGCTGCTGAGCCCACTGCTCTCCCAGCTCTGCACCCCTGCCAGGAGCCGCTGAGCAGTTGGAAAGGTAGGGCAGGCCTGCCTGCCGCGTCCGTGTCTGCAGAGCAGCAGAGAGCAGCAGCAAGGGCTGGCTGTAGCCTGCTGGGAAGGCGTGGGTAGCCCAGCGCTGGGCTGGGCTGGGCTAGCCTGGTGGCAGGCAGCCAGCACACCTGTGTGCTGCTCCAAGTTTGGTTTCCACCTGCAGACAGCATGCCAACCCACCTGCACCTGGCAAGCACATGCATCACTGTTGGGCGGATATGTGATCGCCGCCGGCCCGCGCGCCGCCGCTCTCCCGCCTGCAGGCCGAGCGCCATGAGCGCGGCAGTGCACCAGGAGCCGGCAGAGCAGGAGGTGGGGCTGACGCGCACTCACGTGGAGACTTTGGGGACCGTGGGTACGCGACAAGCCTGCCCACGGACTGGCCTGCTTTGCCTGCCTCTGGGCGCGGGAAGGGGCGGGGCAAGGTTTGGGCGGACTTGACAAGGCAGGCCCGCCATGCTGTCCCAGGTCGCCACGCCGAGTTGTTGGAAGAGGACGAGGTTGCAGGCATCAGCAACAGTGTCGGCCATGGTGGCGACACGACGGCCCCCTTCGATGCCCAGCTGCACCTGCCACTGCTCCCCCTGTCCCCCCGGCACCATCACCAGCTGCTGACACACGGCTCCACATCGGCACTCTTCCGCACCCAGAGCATTGCTGGCAACGTGGCGCCTGCGCTGCATCTCAGCCTTGACCTCCCCCTGGTGGACCTGGGCCTGGCTGGCAGCCTGCCGCAGCTGCACGCCATGCCTGGTCAGTATGGCAAGCCCCGCCTTGGCCTGCGCTGCCGTTTGCGCCGGAACATGCCAGCAACAACACCCTGCTGCATTGAGCTGCTGCAGCCAGCTGCCCTCCATCCCGGCACACATGTGCATCCTTCACACATTTGCCCCCTTGGCCACTGCAGGGCTGTTTGGCCTGCCGCCTGCCAGCATGCCGGCGGGCCTGCTGTCTGGCCTGAACTTGGACCAGCAGCCACTGTCCAGCTATGTCGTCGGCAAAATGGAGCCCACCCTGCCCCACTTCAAGGTGCGCGGGCTGTCCGCAACAGCCCCTGCCTGCTAATCGCATGCGCTGAGAGGACCTCAAGCGCTCCGCTGCTGACGTTGCTGCATGTGCCCTGCTTTGCCCTCTTGCTTGCAGGGGCCATCAGAACTTGCCCACGGGCTGCCTGGGAGCTATGGCAGCGGCGAGCAGGACCCCCTGGGCCTCTTCCTCCACCACCAGCACCTGATGCTGCATCCCCAGGTGCCGCAGGGGCAGCGGCAGCAGCATGAGACATCAACCGGACCATCCTCCTCAGTCAGGCGCATGCCACGTGCCAAGGCCTCACCAGCCGAAGATGCGCCAGCCCCGGCAGGCAGCGTGCCCCAGCCCAGGCAGCATGCTGCCAAGGAGGAGCCAGGCGTTAGCCAGCATAGTGGGGAGGAGGCAGAGCAGGCCAGCCACGAGGAGGAAACGGAGGAGGAGGCTCTGAAGTCTTCTTCGGAGGAGGAGGAGCGGCCCCGCAAGCGCCGGGGGCAGCGGCCGGCCGCCACCACGGTAGCAGCAGCAGCAGCTGCAACTCCTCGCAAGTGGGTTGGTTTGTGCCCCAAGGCACTGCAGCTTCTGGCAAGGTTGCACGCACGCTCGCACCAAGGCTCCCTCATTTGCCATCTCTTGGTGCGATCCCTCATTGGCTCTCTGTTGTGCTGTCCTGTGTGCAGGCGGGCGCAGCGCGGCAGTGGCGAGTCGGGCGCCGGCACGAAGCTGGATCGCAGCAGCCGCTTCCGTGGCGTGACCAAGCACCGCCGCTCTGGCCACTATGAGGTGACTGCATTGCTGAGTATCGCAGCCAATCTGGCTTCTTATAAGAAAGCCAAACTCTTTTAAATTCTGATCAACCACTTTGCTCTTGGTTTGAGGCCCTCCAATAACCCCCCCCTGCAGGCACATATCTGGGTGCGTGAGCTGGGCCGGCAAGTCTACCTGGGTGAGTAGCGCCCACCCAGTTGTGTTGTTTTGTTTGTTCATCCATGGGTGCACTGTGCTAGCAGCACTGTCGCTCATTGTCTGTGTGTCTGTCTGTGTGTCTGTGTCTATGCAGGTGGGTATGAGCAGGAGGAGCACGCAGCGGAGGCGTTCGACATTGCGGCGCTCAAGTGCAAAGGCCGTCGGGTGAAGACCAACTTCGAGATCGGCAAGTACGCCGACCTGCTGGGCTGCATCGGGAAGATGAGCATGGAGGAGCTGGTGATGGCCGTCAGGTGTGTGACCCAGGGCTGTGCACCATGCTTCTCGGCGGCGCCAATATGCACTGTCAGTGCTGCCAATCATGCACGTATCCTGCTGACCCACAGACGCCAGAGCCAGGGCTTCAGCCGCGGCAGCAGCTCCTACCGTGGAGTCACACACCACCCGTCTGGCCGCTGGGAAGCCCGCATCGGCGTGCCCGGATCCAAGCACATCTACCTGGGACTCTTTGCCGAGGTGAGCTGATGACCCAGCCCCTTAGCCTGTTAGCATCTGGTTGTCCACCGCCCGCCCTGAGCTTGTCACCCGCCTTTCACTCTCAGCCCCCTCATCTGCTGCAGGAGGCCGATGCGGCGCGGGCGTATGACCGTGCTCTGGTGCGGCTGCGGGGGCGCGGCGCGGCCACCAACTTTGCGCTGAGCGACTACCGCACCGAAATGGCGGACTATCATCAGATGCAGAGCCGCACTCTCAAGGCGGATGAGCGGTGAGATGGATTGAGTGCTGGAGAGCAGTGGAACAGGGAGCAAGTGTCTGGACCGCTTGGGGAAGTGGGCCTACAAGCAGAGTAACTGACGGTATCGCCGGGTGCTGCAGGTTTGCGGAGATCCAGAGCACGCCTGCTCTGCTGGAGCGCTTTCTCAAGAGCGGTTGTGAGGTGCGGAAGCCATGCGTTAAGGCGCACAGGCGTTTGAATGGCTGTCTGACATTAACATCAAGTGCCTCTCCTGCTCCCTGCTTTTTGTTATTGCAGAACTTCCCCGACCTAGCCTCACCTTCGGGCGCAGCCCAGCAGGAGGGCCAGGAGGATCAGGAGGCGCAGTAGAGTGTTGGTGGGCAGGGATACCAACACCGATGTGCAGGTGCATTGGCACTTCTGCATCAACGCTCAATTCGATGGACGACAGTTCAAGACTTCAACTGAAGACTGGTCACTTTTATCGCCATGTGTTTCACTTTTATGCAGTGCCTGTGGGACAGGCCTGCAGTTGGATTCTTCCCCATTTCTCATTGGTCATCTGTCCGCAATGTCTTGTCTCAGACGTGCACACTGGTTCATAAACTTGTTCAAGGGTCGTTTGTAAGGAACGCAGGAATAGGCAGTGCGTGTCGCCGATGAAGGCCAGGGCTGACAAAAAAGCTCCCTGCAAGCTCAATCTGCGAATCGCACCGACTTCTTGCCGCTGCCGCTGCCCCCGTCTGCCCCCTTGGAGGTCATCTGACTCCTGAAGTTGCTGTCCCGCAGTGAGCCCAAACCGGAGCGCCGCGCCAATGCCCCCACCCCCGACCGCGGCGACAGTGGCCCGCTGCTGCTGCCACTGGCACCGCCCAGCTTGCTACTGCTGGCGGCCGGCAGGCCCAGGGAGGCCAAGCGGGCAGCGCCAGTCTTGTCGCCCTTGGTGCTGCGACGCCCCATGCTGCGCGTCTCTGCCTCCAGCGCAGCTTGCTGCTGCGCCTCACGGCGCGCCTCCTCCTCCTGCTGCTGCTGTTTCCGCGCGCGCATGGCCGCCGTCACAGCCCGTCCCCGCCCCTTGTCGTCCTCATCCCCCTCCAGAGCCTCGGGGGCCAGCGCAGGCGGCTCGCCCACGTCACCATCGCCGCCTGCACCGCCATCCTCCGCAAACAGGTCTGCCAGCGCCGAGTAGTTGATCTTGTTACTCAGCTTGCGATGGTCCAGCATGCGCATGGCGGCCTGCAGCAGAGGCCAGGGGGTCAAAGCCAGGCAGGGGCGTAGGGAGCACACGCAGTGCACTGCAGATGCCGTGATCAAGGCGGGTGCAAAGCGTCGCGTTTCTTTTGAACCCGCAGCAAACAGCCGCACCAGCGCACAACACAATATAGCTCAGGAGCACCACATTGGCCTTGCCGGGACCCCCACTTTGCTGGGACCCCCACCTTACCCACCTCTTGTGCAGTCTCAGCAGGCGGCAAATCCGCCATGCCCGCCCCCCGGTGGTGGTTCTTGGTTTTGCTGCCCACCGGGCGGCCACGGCCACGCTTGTACGCCACCCCTGCCGCCTCGGCTGCCTCCTGCGCTGCCTGCTGTTCCGCCACCGCGCGCTCCGCCGCCTCTTGCGCTGCTCGCTTGGCCGCCTGCTTCTCCAGCCAGTCCCTGTTCATCATGTTCCATATCTCCTCCTTGCATTTCACCTGCAGGAAGAGTGGAGCACCCATGGTGGGGCCAGCAGCAGCAAACCTCAGGAATCACGCAAGCGGCGTCTGAAAAGGCGGGCAGAAGGCGGCAGGCAGAAATCACAGGGTGGTGCGATGCAGTGCCTTTGTTTTGTCCACGAGCCACATCTCCTCTGATCCATTCAGCGTGCGCACCTCTGCATCATCCGCCAGATACATATCAATGTCGGAATCACCAATGTCCGACAGCAGGTCGTCGCCGCCCTCCTCTTCTGGCGGCTCTGGCTGCAGCACTGGCACAATGGCGCCCGCGCCCACCGTCGCAATGCCGGCCTCCCCTTCAACCTCCTCACCCCCTGCAGCCGCAGTCTGGTCTGAATGCTGGGAATGGCGGCTGCTGCCGCCGGCTGCTCCTGCCGTTGCTGCTGCTGCTGCCGCTGCGCCTGCCTGGGCAGACGGCTGGCAGGGCACCAAGGCGCCGCCACGCTGCCGCTTGTCAGTCTGCTGCTGCAGCGGCAGCGGCTCTGCCTGCGAATGCGGCTGCCCCTGCATTGCTGCGCCTTGGCTGCTGGTGGCTGCACTAGGCACTGCTGCTGCTTGTGCCTGTGCCTGCGGTTGCTGCTCTTCTTGGCCAAGGCCGGCAGCCTCTACGATGCCAGCGCTGCTCGCAGCCCCCTTGCGCTTGCGTCTGCTGCCAGCTGTTGCATCCATGGAGCCGAGCCCGTTGGAGCGGAGATGCCGCCGTGCTCCAGCTGCCTCGCTCTCCTCCGCAACAGCTGCCTCCTCTGCGCTGCTGGGCAAGAACTGGGCAAACTGCTGCAGCTCTGAGTCGTGGAAAGCCGTGACCATGGCCTCTGCTATGCCCTGCTCTTCCTGGTCATATTCGTCCACCTCCTCCTCTGCATGGCACAGGTTCTGGTTCAGGAAAACTTGCAGAGCTCTGAAGTGCAGGAATAGGTGTCTGCTGACCCCACTTTTAACCTCTTCCATGCTGCCCTCAGGCAGCCGTCGCGCTTAAACAACACCCACCCTCTGGCTCCGGCAACGCCAGCAGCTCGGCCATCTCCTTGCGTCGATTGCGGTCAAAGGCGGGCGGATTTGCACCATTGTACACGCCGCCGCTGGACTGCAGGTTGAGGAGGGACAGGGCAGGTGCATGCTGGTCTGGCATCAATTCCTGTGACCACGCACCACTGCAGGGCATCGCAGACCAGGGGAGCGGCACAAATCCTCCCCAGACCCTCAGGAAAGGAACGCGAGACTGTGCTTGCCTGTATGAATTCGAGATAGCAGGCGCGGCACATGGCGTGGGCAAAGTGCGCCTCCCCCATCCCTGCAAGACAGCATGATGGTGCGTGCACAATACACCCAAATCATAAATTGATGGCCCGAGCCTGAGTCTGCGGGCCCACGCACGTCGCATACTCCCGCCGCCGGCCGCCACTCACGCAGGTGCTCGCAGCCTGTGCTCTCGAGCAGGCCCACAGGCTCCACGGGCTGCGCGGCTTCCAGCCGCTCCGTCTCGTCTGCCTCAATCTGCTTGACGCGCTCCTCAAACTCATCGGCGGTGTAGGCGGAGGCAGAGGTGGAGGAGAACTCGTAGAGGCGCTTGGACAGCGTGTGCTCGCCAATGTGCACCACAGCCACCACGTCGCGCACGCTGCGCTCAAAGCCTGCAAGCCAAAGCCGGGGGGGGCGCAGAGAAAGGGTGACAGTGGGTGCGTTGTGTATGGTGTGGTGTGCAGAAGGGAGATGGGGCACAGGGCAGGGTGCGAGCAGTGGCGGGAGGTCTGAGAACAGAGGGGATCAGGGGGGAGGCGGCGAGGGCTGGAGCCAGAGGGCGGGCTCGGCGGTGGGCCGCGGCACGCCCGCGCCGCCTGCAGCGGCCAGCATCGTCGTGGAGGGTCGGTTTTGGGGGGCGGCCCGCCTGCCGGGAGGCTGCTCCAGGCCAGAGACTTGCTGCTCTCGAGGGAGAGAAAGAAGTCACTGGCGCGGGGCGCCCGCGGTAGCACGGCGTTCCAGTGGCACCCAGGGGCGACGAGGTTCGCCAGGAGGGCCGATTTTCGGCGTTCTGGGCCGCTGTCAAAGGGGGCCGTGCTCGCATGCTGTGGCGGAGCGCAGCAGGCATGGCAACGCAGCATGCAGGCAGGGCGCAGGGCTGCAAGCATGCTGGAGCGGGTGGAGCAGCTTCCAGAAGGGGCTGTGGCATGCGGGAGAGGGGCTGATGAGGGGGCAGGACGCGCCCACCTGGTGGCCACCACAGATGCATGGCGCGGCGGCAGAGTGCCCACCAGCCGGGAGGGCCACCCAGGGGCCACCCGCCGCCGCCACCCAACCACCCAGGAGCCACCCGGGAGCCACCCAGGAGCCACTGGGAGCCATTCAGGAGCCACCCAGGAGCCACCCAGGAGCCACCCAGGAGCCACCCGGGAGCCATTCAGGAGCCACCCAGGAGCCACCCGGGAGCCACCCCCACCCCCGCCCACCCAGGTGGCCACCCGGCGCTTCTCAGGGCCACTCCAGGGACCACCCCCGCCCACCCACGATGGCGCCCGCCACTCAGGCCACCCACCGTGGATGTGTGCCGCGATGTAGATGGCTGCTCCGCAGATGCCCGAGGGGCGGCGCCCCGTCTGGATCCAGTCGCGCTTCATGGAGGCCACCAGGCGCAGCGCCGTGTTGGCCACCGCATGCATCTGGCGCCCAAAGTCCAGACGGTCGGCAAAGCGGTGGATGTAGAGCGAGGGATCCACGGGCCTGCCGGGTGGATGCAAGGAGGAGGCAGGCATGGGGCGCTTGACAAGGGCAGGAGGACGGGGAAGGCGGCGGCAAGCCAAGGCTCATCGTCTTGAGCCAAGACTGTTCCCTGCCCCCTCCACCACCATGGAACACAGGCCGGCTGACAGGCTGGCCTCCAGGCTCACTTTGCAAACATGGGGTGCTCGGTGAGGCGCAGCAGCTTGGCAAGCTGCAGGAAGACGGCCCCGAGGGTGAAGACATTGATCTGGAGCGCGTCGCTGAAGTCGATGAGCAGGAATGGCTTGGAGTCCTGGCGGCAGACCAGGTAGACGCAGGCAGCGGCCACCTGGTTGGTGCGTCGGCCGCGCGTGAAGCCCCGCTGCAGTGCCAGCTTGTACAGCCGGTGGGCTGCAGGTGGGACAGGGCGGGGGCAGGGCAGGGCGGAGCGAGGAGGGGCGGCAGCGGCAAGTGAAAAGAGGGGCTGATGCAGGCAGGCCATGGCAGCAGACTTCCACGCCCCCTGATGCTGCGCCACACCAAGGGGCTCAGCTCAAGAGGCAAACGCTGTGCTGTGCGCACACTGAAGCAGGGGCTTGCTGCCCATGTGCCGCCTTGCCGGCCGGCTGTGCCATCCCATTCCGAGCTGCCCAGTCCATCCACACGCCACACGCACCCGCCTCGATGCTCTCCTCCCGTGGCCGCACGCTGAGCTGGTCCACCAAGTGTGCGATTTCGTGGCGGCCACGCTGCTGCGCCTTCTCGTGCGAGTCGGCCTGATAGGCGTAGACACGTCCGCCGTGGATGCGCCCGATGCCGCGCGCCACGCCGCTCTCGTTCACAAACTGGCCCACTACTGTGCTCTCCCCGCCCGCATCCTTCTGGAACGTGATGTCCGCCGAAAAGGCGGTGTCCTCCAGCACGCGGCCGCACTGCACACAGCACCTGCCGGCATGCCGCGGCAGGGACAGGACGGGCGCAGTGATGAGGTGGGCAGGTGGAGGCGCCGAGCACCACGCGCAGGGCGCCGGCAGACTTGCGGGCAAGGGCAGGGGGACCGGGGCGCGGCGGTGGGGGACTCACGAGAAGCCATTGGCGTCGTCCACCTCCACATCCACCTCGCAGGCGCAGTAGTTGCAATAAACCATGCCCGCCTACTCTCGCAGGGTGCCCGCAGGGTGCCCGCAAGCTTCAGCCGACTACTCTGCGCTTGTCCCGCGCAAGAGGGGTGCCCCGCCGCCGCCCTGTGTCCTCCCTCTCGAGCAGCCACACTCCTGTTTGGGCTGGGGGCAACACTCGGCACCTTGCAGCACCGGCGAAGAAGCCTGTAAAGCGCTCGTGAAGTGGCCAGCACGCCCGCTCATATGAGGCCTCATGACCGCGCCAGGAAGAAAACTGCGGGATAGCTGTCCTTGAGCGCATGCGCGCGCTGCCCCTTTGGATATTCGGAACAACGCTTGAGATCAGCTGCCCTTTGGAGCCAGCCCGAGCTCGGCAGCAGCCTGATCGGCGCGGTGCAATGCAGGGGGGCGGGAACGTCGTGGGTGAGCGCCCTCCCTTTCTGTGGCCTTGCAGCTCAATGTATGGGGATATCGCCCAACGTTGCGTCAGCTGAGGCAGCAGCCAGCGTAGCGTTGCAGCTCGTGCTGCTGGTGCCTTGCTCGGCGCGGTCGCAATCTCGATTAGGGGCATGTTTCCAGTGGTCCCGGGGAGGCGGCGAGCGGGCCGGCAGCTGCTGCAGGTGCCCGCTGGCGTCTGCACAGCGGCAAGCGCTCAGCCCGGCTTCCGTTGGCCGCCACAAGCAATACTTTGACTCCCCTCCCCTCCTGATTGCTTCTCCCTGCATTGAGTGATTTCAGTGCCCCGCAATTTCCGGTTGCTGGAGGAGCTGGAGAAGGGAGAGAAGGGCATTGGCGACGGCACGGTTAGCTATGGCATGGACAATTCAGATGACCTGCTGATGCGGCACTGGACTGGCACCATCATAGGGCCCCCCAATGTGCGTCGTGCATGTGCCTGCCTGTGAGCAAGGAACGCCCTGCGTGATTGCCACCGCGTGGCTGCATTCTGTCTTTTGAATCGCATGGTGCGTTTCCATTCTGCCATGCACATGAATCACCCGCTCGTTGCCCACCCCTCCCACCCTTGTCTGCTGCCATGCAGACTGTGCACGATGGCAGGATTTACACCTTGAAAATTTACTGCGATGAGCAGTATCCTGATAGGGTGGGTGCAGCCCAGCTCACGGAGCCGGCTTCTAGTTGCAGCAGCATGAGGCCCACACACCCATCCCTGTCGTGCCTGGGCCCGCGCCAGGGAGCGCAACTGCCACTGCTCTCTCCTGAGCCAGCCATGCCGGTTGGTCAGTCTGTGCCACCTTCTGCCATTGACATTTCCGCCTCCCTCTGCCTGTGGCTGGCTTGTGCTGCAGCCTCCCCAGGTGCGATTCCAGTCGCGCATCCAGATGGGCTGCGTCGCACCGAATGGCGTGGTGGACCCTCGCAACTTTCACGTGCTGCGCAGCTGGAACCGGCAGTACACGATGGAGACGGTGTTGACTGAGCTGCGGCGGGACATGGCGCAGGCGCATAACCGCAAACTGCCGCAGCCGCCAGAAGGCAGCACATATTGAGCGATGTGTGCCACTCGGCGGCTGCTGCTGGCCAGTCGGCGCATGTCCAGCCCTGCTTGCTGAGCAATGCAGACGCTCCTTGTACCACAATTTGTAGGAACAACTGACGCATGCTGCTGCGGAGGGGCCTGGCCGGGCACAGCAGGATTGCACAGAGTATTGATCCAAGCAAGTCCACTGCTGGGGATTGCCCTGACCGTTGATTGTGGTGCTCAAAGAAGCATCGCGCGACAACAGCAATGCAGTGACTGACCAGCAAATTTGGAGAGAATCTAACCAAAGCATGGACGGCAGCAAAGGCCCGCACAGTGCACAATGCTGCCATTGGCCAGGCATCCCCCTGAGCACGAGCACGACATACCGGTTGCAGGGAACATGGACAATTAATGATCGGGCTGGTTTGGAGAAAAGAAAAGAATCCGTGTGTGGATGGTGGCAGTCAGGTTGCCTGGTCACCTGGAGCCCCACTCCTGTTAAAGTCTACGCCTGCTTCCTCTGTGCGCTCGTCTGCCGCAACGCATACTAGAGAACCAGACTTCCAATCTACCCACTTCTTTGTCATCCGCCGTGGCGAGGATACATGAGATCCTGCGGCCACAGCACAGAACCAAGGCGAGAGGAGAATGAGCTGATAGCAGTACACAGACAGGCATGCGTCAGCTACACTTGGGGGTTCCGCGCTGCAGAAGCAACGACGAGGCGGACACCTTGCCGGCATGACCCCACTTACATAGTGGCCTGGCCGATAGAGTAGGTGCACACGGGGCTGTGCAGGGGTGGAGCAGCCCTCTGGCACAAAGTCGTGCATATCCACGTGAACGCCATGTCCGCTGCCGTCGGCGCTACTACCACCACCGGGCGCAAGCGAGCGGTCCAGATACACCACGCGGATAGGCACCTGCTGGGAGTGATGGCGAATGATCAGGCATGCATGGGAGGGTCGTGCATTAACTCACTTCAATCAATAGAGTTGACTTTGGGCAGAGAAAGGCAAGCCACGCATTTGTGAATCCTCGCGTTGTGCAATCCTCGCCTGCAGCGCGTCTGTCAATGCCACCAGGTGCACATGGTCGGCCTCCTCCCCCATCGGGTCAACACACTTCGAGCAGAAGGAGGCAACGTCCAAGTCGCTCAGGCCCTGTCAGGCAGAGGGGGTGGGTGAGTGGGAGGGGATGAACAAGTGGACATGACACATGAACTAGTGCAAAGGACCAGGACCAGGACCAGGACCAGGAAGATCCAGCAGCAGCAAACAGGGTGCAGGAAATGCATACTTGAAGGGTGCGGGCAGTCACAAATATTACCATGATGAAGGGGGCAAAGAAGTCAGCGCGTCGCTTGATCTCGCAGGAGGTGACCATGCGTAGGAACCACACGGCGTAGGCACTGCAAGGTATGGGTGGGCGACAGGAGTGACAAAGCCAAGCCTTGGACAGGGCGGCAGCACATGCATGCGCTGACAGCAATCCTTCTCCCACACATACGAGATATCGTCATCTCGTATGTTGCTTTCCAGCCCCTCAATTGTCAGTGGGTCCAGCGGCACCCCCACGCTTCGCAGCATCGACAGCACCATGTCCAGAGGAGTCTCGAGCACTGTAGGCAGTAGGAATCAGCAACGGTCACGTTCCCGCCGACTTGGTGGCAGTAAAAACTCAGCCACCTCCACCACATCACACCAGTGCAGCCCGCCCACCTATCTCATCGTAGCCCCCGATCGCCACCAACGCTTTCTTCAGTCCCTCCAGCTGCGCTAGCACACGGTCCCGCTCACGTGCCCCATCCTCGGACAGCAGCAGCCCCTCGATGTAGCCAAACAGGAAGGAGCGGAAGAAGCAGTTGCCGTCGCCACGAGTGCGCCTGCAGGCAAGGTAGGGGCAAACCATCAACGACAGAGGGCACCAAGTTGAGTGACAGGAGGCACCACGTGATGTGCAGATTCAAACAAACACCATCCCCTTTTGCACCTTATGCTGCCATATTCCTCTTTGAGCTTGTCAATCTTCTGGCAATAGATTGAGGATCCGGCAGCGTACTCAGCAGCCAGCGCCTCCAGCGGCTCACGGTCTCCCATCAGCGGCATGCGCTTCACCTCCGACTCCCTGCAGAGACATCGCAGCAGGGTGGCAGCAGACGTCAGAGTGGGGTGAAATGAGGGAACAGCTGGGTAAGCCACGAACGTTTAGCAAGCCAGGCAGTGCAGCACCATGAAACATGCAAAGAGAAGGGTCAATGCTGTTGGCACGTCTGCTCACTTGATCTGGTTCTCCCAGGCAATAATGTCGGCATCAGAGGGGCGGTCGGGGTCCACAGCCGTGCTGTCCTGCACGGCCTCCCCTGCAGCAGGGGCGCCGCCCAAAACGGGCTGCGCTGCACCGCCAGTTGCCGCCGCCGCTGCTGCCGTAACCTGCTGCCATTGTCGTTGCTGCTGCGCACGGGCGTCCTCCAAGGACGCTTGTATCGCTCGGGCCATGTGGCTGTCGCAGTCGTCCGGCAGCTGCAAGCAGAAATCGTGTGTGCATGTGCATCCTGGCCAGGGCTGCATGCAAGAGGCACATGGCATGCCCCTGTTCTGCACATGACAGCTGCTGAGCACGTGCACGTGGGTGCACTACTCACCATGCCCGCGCTGTCAGCCAGGAAGTCGGCCGCGCTGGGGTCGCCTGCTATTGCGTCAAATGGAGCATCTCCTGTGACCATGGCCACATCCGAAGGCACCCTGTGGCCGAGTAGGGAGGCGGGCACGCACGGAGGAAACACGGGTAGGTTATGGCCGGCAATGGGCTTTGGGTGACAAACACAGTCGCTGGCTACTATGTGCTGAGTTCAGCCAGCACACCTGTTCAAGTCGCCGCCCAGTGTTCCCTCACCATCGCTCTCTGCCAGCTGCAGCGCCCACGGGACTTGCTGTGGCCCCTGTCCGGCCACCTGCTGCATGTCACACTCCTGCACCTCCTCAATGGCGGCGCCTGCCGCCCCCACCGGTGCTGCTGCCACCTCTGGGCTGAAGTGGTCCCCGACCTCCCCCATCTCGCTCATTTTTCGCTTCGCATGTGGCAGCTCAGCGCGGCTGGCATGGTGGGATGCCGCGGCAGGCCCGGCGCCGCCCATCTGCATGCATGTGATGCCGTGCATGCTACAGCTTGTAAGCGGCAGGGGAAGCGTGCACACTAACCTGTCTTGCTCAATTTCCCAACTGACGCAACCCCACCTGTGCAGATGCAGTTCCCGGCTGAAGGAAGTCCATGGGGCTGCCAGCGGCGCCCGTCTCCCCAAACCCATAGTCCACACCACCGCCCTCATGAAGTCCTGTTGGCAAGCAGGGAAGCGCGAACCAGGCAAGGGCAAGCGTGAAAATGGCAGCAGAGAGAGTGCACAAGCAGGCCGTGTGACCAGGCCAGCAGGGGGGCCTGGTGGGCAGCCAGGTAGCGGCGGGACCCCACCTGACGTCTCTCCCTGGAACCCCGCCGCCAGGCTGTGTGCCCCCAGATCGCCGGTGGCGGACGGCACAAACTCCCCCACAACAGGCTGCAGGCAGGTGATGCAGCAGAGCCGTGAGGGCGGAGTACGAAGGGGCCGTGGCAGCGGCACCACTGCTTACAACGGGGCGGTGGCGCGGCGACCACCCCTGCCGGCCCTTCACCTGCGGCACGCCACCGGCGCTGGCCACCCCCTCGGAGACGCTGGAGCGCGGCCTTTGGTTTTCCAGCCCGCCGGCTGCAGAGACGTAGGTGGGGGCCTGCTGCTGTCCGGGTGCGCTGTCAGCGCCGCCCTCCTGAGCGTCTGTGGCGACCAGCACCTGCCCCAGCCGACTTGTGCTCATCGTTGCAACGCTGTTGGCCGGAACCACTAGCTAGGGAGACCCTTCAGCCTCCCGAATGAAAGCAGATTGGAGATTGCGAGATGGGCCGCCCAAACTATGCGGTTTGCGGGCATACTGTAACAGGCGCCAAGCATTTGTTGCCCCCTGATGTGGCACCCTCCCGATTGGGCAACCCCCGCCCCCGCTCCCTCCTGGCAGCCCGCGCGGCGCTCCCCTCCCATACGTGAACTGACCCCATATAGCCCTGTTTGAGGGTTGAGCGGGGCGGAGCGGGGCTGCTTGCACACGTGATGGCATGCACGCTTCAACGCTCCCGCTGTCATCTCACCTCTCTAGCGTCAGAAATACAACTCTTACAAGCCAACCAACACGAACAGAGAGACCGAACAACAGAAATGAACAGGAAATATGAAGCCGCCACAGGCGGCAGCACCTTCCAGCGGAGACGGCAAAGCGTACAAGGCACACTTTTTCAATGGTTCTTGCAATTGCCACCCTTACCGGTTATACAGCCACAGTGCCGCCCACACCGCGCACCATTCTTCTTGCAGCTGCAGTTCCGGGTGCAGGCGCCGCGGCAGCCGCAGCGCACGGCTGCCTTGCCGCCGCCGGGCTGCGCCGCCATCGCCACATTGAGAGACACCACAGGCACTCCTCGCTGCGCCGTGCCGCTGAAGGTCAGCTCGCTGGCCAGGCTGGGTGGCGCCTTAGATAGCCTGCTGGCCTGATGCATACCCTCCACCACTCCAGCTCCGCTCCGCAGCCGGTACATGGTCACGCCAAAGGGCCGCTTGATCTCCACCACGCGGCACACGATGCGGTTGCGGCCCAGCTGCTTGCCCACTTTGCCGCGCTTCGGCGGCAGCAGCAGCACGTCATCGCCCACAGCAAAGTCCTTGGC